CCCTGAGCTAATATCTGTGCCACCTTTCTCTACTTTATATGTGGGTTGCCAGCCATGGCATGGCTTGATAAGCAGTGCATAGTTCTGTGCCCAGGATCCAAACTGGTGAACTCTGGGCAGCCAAAGTGGAGTGCACAAACTTAACTGCTGCACCACCGGGATGGGCCCTAGATAATGTCTTATGGAGCCTCCAGGTGCAGTCAACAAACATTTGTGGAATACACAGGTGCTTTTCCTTTTTCCTGTTCACAAGTAACCTGAATAATAGGCAAATCTGTCACCTTTTCAGCAGAACTAGCCGCAAATATCATGTACAGTATTGTTTTTACAGTGACATGAAATTCAGATTTAGATTTTTACAGAGTTTTAGCAGAATTTCAATCAAGTAAGCACTGGTTCTCTGAAGTTGGTTAACGGAGCTCTCAAAGACTGAATCAATCTAATAAATGCAAAATAGATTAAAAGTTTAACTATTTTCAATGCCATCCTGTTAAAGCTCCAAAAAGCAGAGAGAATGTCTGTCTTGTTCACTGGTGACCCTCCCAATGCCTAGCAGAGTGCCTGGCTCATAGCAAAAGGCAATAAACATTTGCTAGAGGAATGGGTACTGCTGACACTAGTAGGCTCCAGAACAACTGAAGAAAGCAGCTATAAACCACAGCATGATCTGAGCCATTATTTTCTGAAGTAGCTTTTAAACTACAGAATGAGCTGGCCCAAATTTGTGAGACTTGTCTTAATATTATCTGTGATAGCTCTGACATTAGAATACCAACAGATAACAATTAACAACCCAAACTCAAAAACATGACAAGCATTTAAGGTGAAGTAATTTATTAAGAAAAAATATATATAATCACTAAATTTATTATTCATTGCTTCTAAATACAGATTTATATAATGAAGTACTTACTTCCACAATCATCTTTAATGTCTATAGTAGCAAATGGCATATCTGCCAGAGAATTCATAGTATCAGCTTCAAATTCTTCTGACATTTCCTCTTTTCTTGACACATTTTCACACTCATTGGAATCTACTCCTCCTTTAACACATCACAAAAAGAAAAACTGCATTATTTAACTTATTTAACACATATCCTAAACTAAAACAACTCAACTAACTGAATTCAATATAAATTAATATCTGTTAAGAAATGGTCAACTTGTATCCAAATATATTATAAAGCTATTTATATAAATATTATTTGTACCATATTCTACATCTCTATAAATGCATTTTTATGTTAAACAGTTTTAATTATTTTCTAAAGCGCAGTAGTCTACACAGGGTTAGATGAAGACAGAGTTAATCAATAATCCTCAAGATCTTTTATAGCTATATTTTCCTAATTCTAAAACTACGTTTTTCACGTACCTTTGGAAAACAAACCAACAAGATTTGTCAGTCTTTTTCATGTTTATTTTTAACAATGTCACTTACGTCTTCTCATTTGTACAAGTTCTGACCTTTTTTTTTTTCAGTAAAGACCTTTAAGTTTCTTCTCTCGATTATTACATAACATTGGAAATTCAGTTAAAAATATACGGCTCTAAACATGCTTTTCTGTAAATTCAATGATTAAAAAGCAAAAGATCTTATAATTTCCCCGACATCCCTCCCATGGGCATGTACTAATATTAAAGCCACATTTCACATTAGGTCTTTGTTTTGTGTCTTGTTATGGGTGGAACAATCACGACTTGGGTGGAGGTTACGAGAAAGAGAGCATCTGTTTAAACTAATAAAGTTAATCGGAAATTTATCAGTAGGTGGTCTCCCCAGCACCATTATTCTCCACGATTTTATTGACAGACACAAATGTTGTTTAAACTAGGATTGAACAAAATCCTGGGATGCTTATATAATTTTTACTGTACACATTTACTAGAGACTAATTTACCATTGAAAATATTAAAGAAGTCATTTATTCCAATCTGTTGTAATCCTCTATTCTCAAATATAATACCTAAAAAACTCACTCCATTAAAGAATATGGTTTACAACATACAACACAGTAACTATCATGACAGGTCACAGTTAACATATATACCAAGAAAGCCAGATTTTTATTGCAATTTGAGCGATCTCTACTATTGTTCACATATACACACATACCTACTTTCTAGATAAAAGCAAAAAACAACGAAACTTGTGTGTTGTTTTTTGTATATCAATTAGTCGTGTTCAACCCCAAAATCAAAAAAAAAAGTAAAAGCACATTCTTTTGTTTGTTTGTTTGTGGAAGATTAGCCCTGAGCTAACACCTGCTGCCAATCCTCCTCTTTTTTGCTGAGGAAGGCTGGCCTTAGCTAACATCCGTGCCCATCTTCCTCTATTTTATACATGGGACGCCTACCACAGCATGGCTTGCCAAGTGGTGCCATGTCCACACCCGGGATCCAAACCAGCGAACCCCGGGCCACCAAAGAGGAATGTGGGAACTTAACCCCTGTGCCACTGAGCCGGCCCCAAAAGTACATTCTTAATAACGCTATTTACATTACAGTTCAAACTATATTAACTACGAGTGCCTGGCACCCAGGTATTCAACAAATGTCAGTCACATCATACACTCACAACTATTTGAAAGATGTGAGAACAAGTAAAAGTTTCCTTTCTATTTTTATGCTTGCAGTGAAAAATATAAATGCAGCTTCTACCTAAACAAAAGTTTTACTAGATCAATGCATATCTTGTGCCTCTGGGCACAAGCAGCTACACATACAGGATCATCACTGACCACGTAGCTTACACCTGAAAAATGAGCAACTAAATGCGCAATTAAATATGCAGAAGGCCAAACGAAAACCAAACAAAATGAAACAAACCCAACTTCTGTTCTTCTCTATTTTATTCTTATTCTAAGAACTTAGTAATAAGCTCAAGGATCTAATGTGCACCATGGTGACTATAGTCAATAATACTGTATTGTATACTTGAAATTTTCTAAGAGAATAGATTTTAAGCATTCTCACCAGAAAAAAAAAAGGAACTGTGAGGTGATGGATGCGTGAACTGGACTGCGGGAATCATTTCACTATGTATACTTTTATCAAATCATCACGCTGTGTACTTTTAAATATATATAATTTGTCAACTATACCTCAATAAAGCTGGGGGGAGGAAAAAACGCTGCTAAGTGCATTAATAGCATAAAGATGAGGTGAAACTGATAAACCACACTAGAAATAACAGCAGCAGCTGACATTGGAGCACAAACTACATGCCAGGCACAGCCGGAAGCACTTTACAGACAGAAACTCATTTAACCACACCATCAGGGAGCTACTATTACATATTCATTTTACAGACTAGCTGATTAAGTAACTTGTCCAACGTTACAGCTAGTAGGTCTTGGGGCTAGAATTTGAATCCAGTCATTCTAGGGCCAAAACCTGCCCTTTCCAGCAACAGAGCCTGCTGCCTCTTCATGCAGCTTATACCACTGTAAACTGAGGAAATCGTCAGGATCAGGAGCCACGAAAATGTTCTTACCGCTTTCTGGGTATCTGTCCTATATGCTGAAATAGATTCACCACGGCTCTGTTTAAACAACAAAGCAAAAGTGGAACGACTTAAACACCTACCGATGGAAATGGTTAAACAAAGCATATTCACTCTAGACAACCAAGAATGAGGCTATGAAGACTCCAACAACTGAGAAGTTTATAACAAATACTGACTTTTAAAAAGCAGAAATAGGGGCTGGCCCCGTGGCCGAGTGGTTAAGTTCCTGCACGCCGCTTGGGCGGCCCAGGGTTTCACCAGTTGGAATCCTGGGCACGGACATGGCACTGCTCATCAAGCCATGCTGAGGCAGCGTCCCAAATGCCACAACTAGAAGGACCCACAACTAAAAAAATATGCAACTATGTACTGGGGGCTTTGGGGAGAAAAAGGAAAAATAAAAACCTTATAAATAAATAAATAAATAAAATAATAAGCACACATAACAGTGCGTATGCCCTATGATTTCCTGCAGGAAAAGGCTAAAAGATACAAATTATTTCTAAATCCTGACATAGCTGTACTCAATATATTTGTATTTTTTATTTCCGCTATTCGAATGTTTTAAACGGAGTTAATATTACTTTTAAAAGAAAACAATTAATGCATATATTTAAAATATATAATAAAACTCTACATTAAATGTATGCTGACATTCAAATAAATGGGTCCTTCCGCAAATGGCTTCATCAAACACAGTCCAAAATAGGAGAAAGGGATAGACAGTTTGCCCTCTGTCACACAAAATGCAAGTTTCCTCTGTGGATAATACGACTTTATCAAGCAAGACTCTCTTCTATTCCTCCACTAGGCATACTGTGTGTATATTCCCAAGGACTAATGGAAAGGGTCAACACCATCCATGTTCACCCCGGCTTAGCTACCAAAAATAGAAACGTCTTCCATCGAGATAAATGCTGAGACCTGTGTGATAAACAACAAGTCACCTGACCCCCAAGCTTTGGTTTCCTCATCATAAAAAGAACACAAAAGTACACCCCAAATTGCTAGAGAGAAATGGACAAAATAAGTTAATAATATCTTAAAAAGGGATGTGAGAAGACAGTAGCCTCCACAAACATCTTTGTGAATATGACCAAAAGAACGAGAGACGCTATCAGCATCCTGCATTGCAAGGCCACGCACTAAGCCAAGGAACTGGGCTGTGAATCCTCTCTGACAGCCCCCTACCCCTTCTCCCCTATAAACGCGACTCGAAGACTCACGCCCTCCGCACCCACCCACCAGGTTCTAATCATTTCGTTCCCGTAACAATTGTAAACTGTTTACACTACTTAACAGCTATTATAACACATTTGAACACTTCAGTGCTCCTTTATCTTTCTACACCCTTATATAAAATCTCGCAGAAAGCACCTTTTCTCTAATAGGTTTTTGGTCCCCTTCACCTAAAATCGAACCCTAACTCACTCTGCCCAGAAAGTTCACTTCACAGTAAGTGCTGACCTCAGCTGGAAACCAATTCTGGGCGGTCCTACAGATGTGGCGCCAGTTTAAAGAGGTCATTTCTGAACCTACAATCAGGTCCTAAATGGAGCAGTGCAGCGGTCCCGAGCTTCACTGTTGGCGGTTTAGGGTAAATATCGAGACTGTCTGCGGTTTGCGGACCACACGAAGCCCGGCGGAGGGCGGTGTGGGCATGAACTTTGTACCGAAGGTCACAGGATCAGAACGCGGGAAACAAAAGTGAAAGCGGGCGCCCCCCGGCGCGCGCTCGGACGGGGCCCCACGGCGCCGGGCGCCCGGGCTCTGGGAGCGGCGGGGGGCGCCGAGGCGGGCCCTCCCCGCGGCCGCGCGCGCTCACCGGCTCCGGGGCGCTCCATGGCGGCGGCGCCGGCGGGCGGCGCGTCTCGGCAGGCGGCGGCGGCGGCCCGGCGCGGCGGCCCGGGGCTGCGCGCGGGCGGGAGGCGGAGGCGGAGGCGGAGGCGGAGGCCGGGGCGGGGCCGGGGGCCGGCGGGCGGCGCGCCGGGGCGGGGCGGGGGCGGCCGCGCGGCGGCGGGGGCTCGGGCCGCGGCGAGCAGGCCGGCGGGGCGCGAAGCGCCCGAGCAGCAGGCCGCGCAGGAGCTGCATGCCGGGCGGACGGGCGGAAGGGGCCGACCGGGGCGCCTGCGGGACCGGATCCGGCTGGCGGCGCGGGGAGGGCGCGGGGCTCGGGGCTCCCCGGCGGCCGCCGCTGCAGCCCGCGGGTGTCCCGTGCGCGGCCTCGGTGCGCCCGCGCTGGCGGGGCTGCGACGGGCGCCGGCTGAGCGCGTCCCCTGGCCCGGCGTCTCCGAGCATCCGTGCGTTTCGTTTTGCCGAGAGCTTTCAAAACCCAGAGTTCTGATTACAGAATATCTGGAAAGAGCGAGATGTATAGGAACCAGACCTCGTCCATCTGTGTAATTAGATATTTTTACTTTGCTTTTTTAAAAAAGCCAAATTGTGGTGAAGTCACAAATTTTTAACAGTTTTCTCCCTAGAAATTAAATGGGAACCAGTTACTGCACGGGTGCGAGTAAAATGGGAGAAAAAGCAATTTAGTTAATTAAAAAAAAAAAACCTTTTGACGTTGGAACAGAATTCTCCTGGATTTTTCTTTCAAGTGCAAAGAAACCATGCAAGAAAATTAGGTGCATACCTCAGCAAATTAATGTAGCCTGTTTTTCGAATAGTAACATTTGGCTTATCCTGAGCGGGTTCGCGTCCTGGCAGAGTTTTATTGGATGGGGAGTGAATGTTCAAAAGGGAGAGGTGGTAATTGCTTGGGCAGCCTCAATTGGAAAACACGCTTCCACATATACTGCTGGTGATGGTAAAAAGGCCTAAGCTCCTGTGGGGACCTGAAATTGGCCACCCCAAGATATGTCTCTTTGGCATCACGATTATTTGAGGCTGATTGCTTTTGATAAACTGGGACAGGGAAGGAGGAATGGAACTTGCCCTTCGTTAGGACACATTTACATTTGTAAGGTAAATCTCTGTCTGTAAAAGTTGCCTCCCTCTGTACCAGGAAGAAGAAAGGAGATGACCTTCTCTCTAGAAACTCTTAATCAATACCAAAGGCAAGGACTTAAATCTGTATTTTGTTGTGCTTGTCTGGTAACCTCCTGTAACTGACTTCCCTCCCCCTCCCAACGTTGGCATTTCTTAAGGATTAAGCATCTTTCCTTAGGCTAGGAACTGATTGCTGCTGCGTGACTGCCCAGCTCCAGACAATCCACTTGCCTCCTGCTACACCCACCGAGATAGCAGACCATTACCTGCTGTGTCCATCAAGCAATGTGCCGACAGGGCAATCTTGTGACTATTGTGGGAGGGACATTTCAATCACATGTGAAACACCCTGTTTGGGGGTATATAACCACTCTGTGCACCCCACTTCTTCGGTGCCCTTTCTTCCTTTGGGAAGAAAGGCCCCGGGCCATGGTTCCTCATAAAGCTTTGTTTAATTTTCTCTTGCTGTTCTGTCTCATGTGAATTTAATTCGTTCTCCGGCCAGACGAACCCACATTTGGGAAGAGGAAATGTCTTCCTCCCCTACACTCCTCTCTGAGAGGAGATGTTAATATTAAAAATGAGCCAAAGGTCATGGGCATCACCTTTGTGGGGGACCTGGTCTGGTTCAGGGTGGTTGGTGATTGCATCTCTCAAACAGTTAAATGCTTCTGAACCCACCTTGAGTTCCTCTGGGCAATTAGTCGGTGACACTAGAATGGGGATGGGAGCAGACCTCGACACAACCACATTAGTTGACATAAAGACGGTACACAAGAAGTCATAAAGCCTGTTACTCTGATTTTAAAAGAATTCTAGCAAGTTGAGTATTTGGTTTGCACACGCATAGCAGTTATGCGCTGATTAGAGGGGAACAACAGGTTCCCCTAACATTTGTTTAATGCCTGAGCTCCGCCCTGAGGATGTGCAGGTGAATAGGACAGGTCTTCTTAAGAAGCTGATCCTAGTAGCAGAGGAAGAAACGTGAGTAACTGCAATAAGCAGTACACTAAAAGCTGCAAGAAAAAAAAGTGACCCATGTTAATATTGAAAGGGACCAGAATATGCCACCCCAAAACATGCTGCTTTGGCACAAGGATTATTTTGAGCTGGAAGCAATTGAGAAACCGCAGACACTGGAAGAACTCTGCCCTCCTCGTTTCAGCCTAAAAGGGCATAAATTTCCCTTTGTAAAGGTGGCAAATTTCCATTTGTAAAAGTTTCCCCCTCTTCCCGACCAAGAAGAGGAGAATAACTCAGCTGCATAGCAAACCTTACTAAACAACCGTTATTTACCATATGTGTCCTCATCCGCCACCTGAAGGCAGAGACAGTTTTAGAGGCTTTGTGCTCCCTGTGCTAAGTACTCAGATTTGTCAAAAGAGAGCAACCCACCCAAATAAGTTTCAAAAAAGAACCACCATCAAGAGTAATCTCAATGTGCTAAAGCTTCACCAGCCTGAGGGTAAAAATTAGCTGGCATTTAGATTGATATGTAAATCTTGAGAGCTAAATGAACGTACCTACTCCTGCCAGAACTCCAGCCCTTGTGAAATCCCTCCAAAATACCTCTGGGGTTCCAGTGTCTGACATCACCCATGAATCATTCCAGGCTGCCACCCGCCCCCATCCTGATACCAGCTCAACACAAGGTTGCCGTAAGGGAAGCCATATTGTAGAAAAGAACCGTATTGTAACTTTGAATGAGCTCTGATTAACTAACCCAGCTGGATATGCACCATCCAGGTACTGTGTAGCAGGACATACATGCTCTGTAGATGTTATGGCCCCTCCTGTCACTGAGTAGTTGCCCCAAGAACCCAAGTGTGGGTTTGGATATTTTAAATGTTTTTCCAAGTTGTTCTTTTTCCTTATGTTAAGAAGATGCAATCACCAACCACCCTGAACCAGACGAGCTTCACCACAAGAGCAATACCTATGACCTTTGCCTTAGTTTTGGTGCTAATATCTCTCCAGGAGGAGCTTAGGCCTTATTCCCTAACCTGCAGTGTATGTGGAAGCACATTTTCCAACTGAGCCTGTCCAAGTGATTACCCATGTCTCCCTTTTGAATACTCATTCCCCGTCCAAAATAAATGTCCCTGCTTCTCTTTGTTCTGGGGCACCCTGACTCTGGAAATGATCCCTCAGTCTCCTATTTGCTGCAAACATGCCTTACTTTGTGAGACAACTACCTCTGTGCAGAGTCTGATTTAACTTGCCAGGAGGGAACTCACTTTGGTTTCGGTAACACTCCCAGCTATGATAAGTTGATAACTTTGTTCTGAGTTCCTTAGGGATGTGATGACCCCCAGGCAGAGCGTCTATGCTGGTAGCCATCATCAATGGCAACTGAAAGATCTGGTGTGGCGACTCTGGCTGTTCCTTATAATTAAACTGGGGATCAAATGTGTTTCATAAACTAATCTCTAAACTGTCTGTGGCGGTGACTGGACAACTCGATCTCCAGAGTTACGGTGGCAAAACATGAGTGACTCTGTTTCATTCTATGATCCCTCTATGCCCACCCCTTTTGATGCGGGATCGGTGAGCTGAGGAGTCGAAAGAAAGATTTCTTAGACTCTCAAGATCTGGCAGTAGTGCTCTTTTATTTAGAGAATAGTGTGGAATAGCGTGGGGACAGGACCCATGGGCAGGCAGAGCTTCTGCTGCTGCCTCTGCTGCCCCCGCTGGCATGGGGACAGAGCCCATGGGCAGGCAGAGCCGCTGCTGCTGCCCCCGCTGGCATGGGGACAGGACCCATGGGCAGGCAGAGCTGCTGCTGCTGCCCCCGCTGGCATGGGGACAAGACCCACGGGCAGTCAGAGCTCCTGCTGCTGCCGCTGCTGCTGCCCCCGCTGGCATGGGGACAGGACCCATGGGCAGGCAGAGCTGGTGTGTGGGGACAAGACCCACGGGCAGTCAGAGCTCCTGCTGCTGCCCCCGCTGGCATGGGGACAAGACCCATGGGCAGGCAGAGCTGGTGCGTGGGGACAAGACCCACGGGCAGTCAGAGCTCCTGCTGCTGCCCCCGCTGGCATGGGGACAGGACCCATGGGCAGGCAGAGCTGGTTCGTGGGGACAGGACCCACGGGCAGTCAGAGCTCCTGCTGCTGCCCCTGCTGGCATGGGGACAGGACCCATGGGCAGGCAGAGCTCCTGCTGCTGCCCCCGCTGGCATGGGGACAGGTCCCATGGGCAGGCAGAGCTGGTGTGTGGGGACAGGACCCACAGGCAGTCAGAGCTTTTGCTGCTGCCCCGAGTTGAGGGTTAGGGCTAATTTTATAAGGCATGGGTACATGACTTATTTTTACTGGAAAAAAAAGAAAAGATGATGTAAAAAGTCATTAAATGATTTCAGTGCAGATGGGGTCTGGTTATTGTGTGGTCATATAACTTTAGATACGAATCTGGCCATATAGATCGGCATGCAGGTGAGGATGCCCCGGGCTTCTCTCCCTGGGGCAGTCCTAATTCATACCATAAAAAAAGTCCACTGGGTCATATAGTTTGGCATGTAGGCCAGGTCACCTTGGGCTTCTCTAGCTGGGGCAGCCTTAATCCACATCACTTTCAGCAGGAAGTAGACAGACAGACAACGACCCCCCTGTTCCCATTACCAGTATATGCTTATGCTGGGTTACAACTGACAGTGGGGAGTTGCTGGTGCTGTAGGGGAGGAAAACAATTCCTCTACCCATTTTAGGTCCTTCTGGCTGGGCTACAAATTAAATTGACGTGAGACAGAATAACAGGAGAAAATCAAACAAGTTTAATAACATGTATACGTGGGAGAAACCTAGGAATACTGATCAACTCAGCCATCTGGCCAAAGCTGCCACCTTAAATATCACCTTCAGCTAAAGACAAAGGAGGAGGTTGGGGATAGTGGTTTGGGATTTCAGAGGGGAGGAAGGCAATTTACGTGGAGATGGAAATGTTTGTTAAACAAGTTTTGTTGGGCCAAAAATGGGCTTGTTGCTGCCTTTCTATCACACCTATTTTACATTATACTATAGCTATCTTATGGCATTAGCTCTTTCCTGGAACAGGCTTTCTGTGTTAAATTCTTTTAGGCAGTTTCGGGAAAGCTCAAATGTTCTTCCTGCGTCTTCTGAGCCTTTGTTGTCTTCAGCTCAAAATAATCCACATACCAGCATGGCACATCTTGGGGCAGCCTGCCCTGAACCCCATCAGCACCACTCATGTAAAGAGTAATCTTTACTATACATATTGAACATTTTGTTCTTATCATCTTTAAACTAAATCAGGGTATAGGGTGTTGCTCTGGTCTCTGATGCATATCCAGTAAAACAAAAGATTATCAGGAACTAAGACCAGATATCTGCCCCCACCCAGAGACCAGATGCCTCCCCTACCCGGAGACCAGCCCAGTAGTCTTTGTTCTATAAGGTGGTTCTTTCAGACGTTAGCCATCTTCCCTCTTGCTGGCAGGCTGTAATAAAACACTTTCCCTCCTACCACCTGGCCTCTCTACTGTTGGCATTTCTTGCGGCGAGCAGACAGGCCCCCCTTAGGCAGTAACAACCCCTTGCCTCACCAGCTCCACTGGTTCAGTCTCCTCTCCAGGAAGTCCTCCACTCTGACCCAACCTCAGCTGCCTGGTGGTTCACCTGGCCACAGTGGATGCTCTTAGTTCTCAGGGTGACAATCTCTTGCAAATGAGGAGACCAGTTCCTCCTGTACGTGTTACACTGTGCTTAGTGGGTAAGGCAGGGTGAGTGGTCCGACAGGAGACTGTTTGAACCTCAAGAGCTACAGAATCCATTGGGAGAGCATGTTCCTTTTCCCACGCAGCACTTTTCTCCCAGTAGGACAATGTACACTGCCAGGATAACTGGCTTGGAAGGATTCCGGTTCAAGCTACCACATCACTCCTATTCCACGACCCTCCTTGACCTTCACTCTTGCTACATTGGCTCATTCCTCCTACAAGACCCCTTCCTATAGGGTGAGTTCTCTCTTTCTCTTGTGTGATATGCTCCAGTGCCCATGCATTTCTTCCAAACAGTTGGTGCTGTTTTAGTTCTTGTTCTAAGAGATGTCAAATGACAAAACTAAAACAATTGAGCAACCAGTTTGATGTTCTTTATTCAAGAGAATACAACCCATACACTGGGGGAGCGCACTGCCTCACAAGCAGTGGCCACTCTTTCAGGGGGATTTTGGGCAAGAGTGAGTTTATAGAGCGTTAGAACAGGCAACATGGAAAGGGGGCCTGTTTGGCTGGGGGTCGGGATTTGCTTATAAGGCTAGCAGGTCCTATTTTTGTAGGGTAAGGTGAGCCAGCTAAAGCTGAGTTGGAGGATTGTGATTGGTGTTAGGTTTCCTTGACAGTGAGGCGTTTCCAAGATGTACATGCTGACTTAGGTTTAGATTTGTGGCCTGCATTTTGTGGGTCCAGATATACGAATTAACCTTATCAAAGGTTCTTTGGTCCTCCCAATAAACTACAGCTGTAAATGGTTATCAAGGAGGATGAAGCTATGCAGTTTTCCAAGACATGGTAAATAGCAGAAAGCCAACTGGGACCCTTGGTGACCCAGGGTGACTCAGGATGACATTCCGTTTTGTTGGAGGAGGAATATGTGTTTAATAATAAAACATGTATGCTTTTCAACTAATGTTTGAGTATAATATTTGTTTAAGAAATCACTGCATCTATTTAATAATAGATTTCTTTCAGTAGCTAGACACAAAGGGTCTTATAATATTAAATATCAGGGTGCAACATTTTAAATTATTTTAAATATTTCTCACTTAAAATGTAAAATTCCTAATTTTCGTGAGTGACATGTTGTTTTATACAATTTTTAAACAGAAAAATTCACAGAATAAAACTTAAAATTATCTATAATACATCAACTGGAAGTATATTTTTGTAGATATAGATATACATACACACACTGCTGTAGGATATATTTTATAAAAATGGAATCATGTTGCATATAGCTTTGTAACCTGCTTTTTTCTTGGCAATATTGTGACTAATTTCTCATATCATTGACTGTTCTATACTATAATTTCAATGGCTGCATATTAAATCTTTATATAAATGTGTCATAATGTATTTGATCAATCCCCTGTTGATTGTCTCTGTTCAATCTTATTTAAATTCATCTCAATTTTTCATCATTAAATGCTATGATAAATAGTTTTTTCTATAAGTCTTTATATATTTTTTATTATTTCCTTAAAATAAATTCCCAGGAAGAGGCTTGATAGGTAAAAGATTATGAATCATTATAAGGTTTTGAAACATATTGCCAAATTATTTACCAATTTATATGCTTACAAGCAGTTTATGAAAGTTTATGAAATTCTGCCATTATAAGTTCTTCCCTCCTTTTCCATTTTTTTTTCTTTTTGAGGAAGATTAGCCCTGAGCTAACATCCACCACCAATCCTCCTCTATTCGCTGAGGAAGATTGGCCCTAAGCTAACATCCATGCCCATCTTCCTCTACTTTATATGTGGGACGCCTGCCACAGCATGGCTTGACAAGTGGTGCCATGTCCCCACTCAGGATCCGAACTAGTGAACCCCAGGCCGCTGAAGAGGAGCGTGAGCACTTAACCACTGCGCCACCAGGCCGGCCCCCCTCCTTTTCCATTTAAAAGGTACAAAGGTTTGTTATTTTAACTTGAATTTCTTTAATTATTAATGAACTGAATATTGTTTCATATATTTAAAGCCATCTGCATGTCTCTCAATAAACTTTTGCTTATTTGTCTTCTAGGTTGTTTATCTTTTTCCACTACTTCATAAAAATCTCTCTATTTATTAATGATTTTAAAGCCTTTGTCATATATGTTAAAAACATTTTCCCTATCTTATTGTTTACAATTTCTGTACAGTCGTCTTTGGCATGCAGAATTTGAAAATTGGTAGGTAGTCTTATGTATTAATTTTTGTTAGTGGTTTTATTTCTTTGCTCTACTGTTTAAAAATATATTTCTTGGGCTTGCCCCGTGGCCAAGTGGTTAAGTTCACGAGCTCTGCTTCGGCGGCCCAGGTTTTCACCTGTTCAGATCCTGGGCGCAGACATGGCACCGCTCATCAGGCCGTGCTGAGGTGGCATCCAACATGCCACAACTAGAAGGACCCACAACTAAAATATACAACTATGTACTGGGGGGATTTGGGGAGAAAAAGCAAAAAATAAATAAATAAATAAATAAAAATATATTCCTTTTGCAAGACTATTTATAGAGCCTTTTACTTCTTCGTATCTTTAATATTTAATTCTTTAATGAATTGGGAACATAGTTGATTTACTGTATGAGAAATAAGGGCTTTATTTTTTCTCCAAAGATGCCGTTGTTCAAATGCCATGTGTTGACGTAAAAGCCATAGTCAAGAACTTCCAGGGCCTTTCCCCACATGAAACATCCCTTCTCTGTCACTTTTTGTTAGGTCATACTTTCAGTTAGTCACTTAATCTCACAAACTAAACCATGCTAATATATAAGTCCCTCTGAATTATTTTGGCAAAATACTGTACACCTTCTATACATACACAGGCAGCCACTTTATTTGCCATTAAACTGCTTTAATTTCTATTTGACAATGATCACTATCTAAACTGTATTATCCTTTGACTGTTCCCTTGTCCATCTGTCTTTCCTCCTAGAATATACGGTTCCTGAGGGTAGGCTTTTCATAGTCGTCACCCAGATCCTGGCACACAGGCATTTCTAAATAACTATTTGTTGAATTTGTTATTTATTTAATGAATTGACTAGAGATTGAGTCAATGCTAAAGAGATGAATGATGGGAGTCAAGGATGGAGATTTTGGAGGTCTGACGGCCTTTGGCTGCTGATTTCCCCACTCATAAGACCAGCGATGCCTGTGGACATTTATCCCACTGTCAACAAATTATTACATTTGTGGATATTGATTCAGCATTTACACAGCTAATTCACCTGCAAAGCATTACCTCTGAAATGCAGAAATATGGGAAGTAAATAGTAATTTCAGCTACTAATTATTGGCACTCTGCCTATTTCCAACCCAAAAAAAGAGAGAAAGTAAACAAGCATATCCAATTACAGTATGGTCACATGTTGTAAATCTGAGCAACCAAAAATAAGCCACAAATCTATTCACCAAAATAAGTTATTATACACTGTCTCAAGCTTCAATTTTGTTCATAAATATAATTTATTTAGTAAAGCAAATACTCGTTGACTTAAAAAAATGCCACTTGGAGAAAGGACAACTTCATAGCACACAGAAGGTTTTTCTGAAATCATGTCACGTAGGAAATTACCTTGATGCAATGTGGCCTCCCAGTCCACTACCAGGCTAGCTGTCATGGAGAGCAGGGAACAGAAGCACTCTCAGACCAAACCAAAATGCTTGCATCACACGGTTTATTCAGTCAATTAAAAATTCACAGTGGGAAGCAAGGGGAAAGAGGGGAAATCAACACACTTAGGATTGGATGTGATTGGGATGAATGGGCCACACTACCTGAATCCCAGAGTATGTGATATTCATGCATCCCGTCTCTCTCTGCTGCCGCATCAGTCTTGCCTGCTCATGGTGTGGTTATGAGGACCAGAATCGAGCTTCGAGAAAGAGGGCCAATTTAAAGAAGCTTCCCTAAACCACTGACGCATACGTGCTGTACTGGAAAGATGCCGGGACAAGTACTCCTGGCCACAGGTGCCTCATGGTAATTAGATACCCCTTGGTCCTTCCATCCCTTTTAACATGCGTCTACGTTTAACGTGTACGTGCTTCACCTACTCACCACTGATCTGTACGTAACACATCTTAGTTCATTTGTCCCATCTGTTTTCTTCTATAACAGATCTGAATATTCTCAAACAATACACCAAGTGCATGTAACAAATCTCTAACACTGACTGGTTAATCTGCTGCTATTTTCGAAACCTCTATTAGTCACCTTGGATTTCAACTTGGCATCAGAAAACCTCCAGAAAGTCTGACCTTAACTTCTGGGTTTCATTTAATTCTCCTAGCAGTGAATAGCTCTGATTCTGTTTCCAAGGTAACAGTAAAAGGAAGAGGTTGTTTACCTGTCTAGATTTTCCTCTCGGGGTTCTAAGGTTTGTACTTTTCCCACCCACTTAACTCCTTATTAAAACTCCTTTACTTGGAATGTATCTTTTTATTCCCCCTTACTCTTCTTAATTCCCAAAAAAAAAAACACAATGTAAAATGAAGGGACTACAAAGTGGAGTTCCTCTGGCTACCTATTTATCCAAAAGTCTCAGCTCCCTGTTTATACCTAGGTCTAACAAGTGTCCTCCTTCACCTTCCTTTCTGCTCTCTGGAGTTCTTTGTGGCAGCCCTGCCATCTGAATTTCTGTAGCAGACATCCACAAAAAGTATTACCTTCCTTTCCCGCCCCAGGACCTTCGTTACAGGTAGAGTGACCACCTGTCCCGGTTTGCCCAAGACCAGTTAGTTTTAGCATTGAAAGTCCCATGACCTGGGAAACTTCTCAGTCCCTGGCAAACAGAGAGGATTATCACTCTAACATGGACCAACAGGAATGAGATATGTGTCCAAGAGTGAAGATTTTTACGGACTGAGAGAGCCAGGAGAGGCGAGGAAGATGAGGTCATATTTGAGACCAAATATCAAAATTAGTGGATTAAGAAAGCAGGAACATAAGGGGTAACTCATTCCACGCTTGGGGAGGCAGGGCCCTGCAAGTAGATACAAAAGAGAGTGGGTCTACTAGTTTGACTGGTTCAAGGGGCAGAGGACTGGGAGAGAAGCCTGGAAAATTAGGTTGGGACCAGATTATGGAAGGTCTTAAATGCCAGCCTAAGCAACTGGGCCTTTATCACATAAGATTGGCATTGTCAAAGAACTCTGACCTTGGAACTGACGTGGGGAAGGATGGCTTTAGAAAGACAAATCTTTCAGGTCTGGGCAGGATTTATTGGAGATGGCAGAGTCAAAGTCCCAAGTCTAGTCAGTTCACTGTGGTACTGCAGTAACACAAGTGTGAGGGGCAGAAACCTTAACTAAGGTGTTAGCCTAGAAATAAAATGAAAGTGATAGATTTAAGAAGTTCCAGGCCAATCGTTGGTGAAAGTTAGTAATTGATAAAGTGGAGAAAGAGAAAGTGGATTGGCTTGCACTAAGACACTAGAAGTGGGGTGAATTGGGTGTTCCCAGAGCAATCCAAAATGAAGAGGATGACAAGTGAGAGGATGGTAAAGAGGGACGAGTTGAGTGAGCAAGATGGTAGAAAGTGTGTGCTGGGTAATGGCACTCTTCCTCTGATCTCTCAGACGTCTTCAGTAAAGTCGATAACTAAATTCTCCAATCTTAAGTGTGAGTGATTTTGTTGTGGAAACTAAAGACTGGGCAGCAGGGGGCTGGACTTTCACACGCCATCCGAATTTGAGCCAGTTTAGCTCGATCTTGAGGAGCAGGATCTGAATTCCAGTTAAATGCCCACGGAAAGAGAGGGACAGTAAAGGGGAAAAACTGATTGAGTAATGTTGGGGGTATAAAGTCAGAACACCATGAACGCGTTGATCTTAGATAGGAGGGAAGCAAGTTAGGATAGATGGATCCTGATGAGTATTTGGCTAAAGTAATGGTTAAAGGAGCTACTTTCCAAAGGTGTCAGCTTTCTTGATGAAAATAGGTGGTGAAGTCATTTGCTGGGAGAAGAAGAAGACAGTGAGGGAAAATCTCGTTGATTTGGAAGTTTTACAGATGTACAAGTGGTCAGTGAAACTATGGGTCTGGCTGACGTCACCCAGGGAGAGTGTATGGAGTAATTAGGAGACTGTGGATGAAATGCTATCACCATCTTTGGGATAACAATCTGAATCTTTTTATAATACATTTCATCAGCTTCCTGAATTATCACTAATTACATTTCTTCCTTTCTGGGTAAGAATAAGAAATAATCACTGTAGGAACATGATTCTTTTTCTTCAGTCAAATGAAAAGGGATCATTTACGTATCATAAAGAATATACTAGTTTGTGTCATTACTCAGAGATAATGATGTTCTTACACTCTTGGTTTTGAGGTCATCTCTATTTCTATACACTAAAGTAATTAGAGCTCCTGACCACGTTTTGGACAAATGCCAAATTGGGAGATTAGGCTTAACAGCTCTAATTAGGCTTCCTGAATTTGATTAGTGCTGGGGACTAGTTTCTCATTTGATAGTTTATCTTACAAGAATTCCTGGCTGGAAGCTGTGTTGTTTTCTTGGCTACTATTTGTATCATGTACATCATGTAAACCATTATACTTTGATGAATCGCTGTTGTTACTTGCTAGTAAGATCTTCTGAATACTAAAAGGAAAGTGTTAAGAGCTAGGTCAAATTCCAATTTCTGGATCATCAGGGCTGTGTATTATTTGTTGGTTTCATTGTCCTCCTAATGTGTTAGACAGTATTGAAGTTTTTGTTTAAGCTTCTCATTGTCCATTTTAAATGCGGGCTATAATTCTATTTTCAGGGACACATTAACATAGATTATATTAATAGGATATTAATATCTGGGTTAGCAGACTTCACATCTTTCCAAATTTAGTCATCTCATTGCTCACTTGACATAAATATTCCTCGTTTTTCAGTTGTGTAATTGATATTTAAAGCAGCGTCACACAAGACATCATTGGCAAGACTAATCTTATTTGCATGCCAATCAGAGTAAAATTGACAATTATACTGTGAGGTTTTCTTTGAATAATGTAAGAATTAGATGATACAAGAAATGGAAAAAAAAATGGAAAAAGTATAAAAGTCCCAGAAAGAAAAAGAACTGGAGTTAGAGGGGATTTGAGTCTATTCTGCCTTAACCAGTAAAGAATCCCCTTACAGATGGCCATCTGTTTGCATACGTTCACTACGTAACAGCTCTTTGCCTAAGGGTTTCGTGGTCTCAATTCAAAGAATATCTGTCATTGTCTATTGATCCAGCTACATAATGAGAGAAAGCCACCATAATTATAATCAACAGAACTGCAAAAATCCATGCACCATGAGGTACTTTTACCCAAGGCCCTCTGACTGTCAATCTTTATAGTAACATAGTCCATTTTACAGATATAATTTCCATACATAAATGAATAACATGTAATAGTTAATGCCATTTTTTATTTAATATTTTTTCAAATAGCTATTTCAAAAAGGTATTCTTATATATAGCATAATTTGCTCTATATTATAATGGTTTGTTGTATTATATCATCATTTGTTTAACCAGTCTCAAAATCTTGAATTTGAAATCTCAGAAATCTCTAAAGTTTGTCTGTGTTTGGCTTTCCAATAGAATGTAATCACACATATTCTTGATTTTTTTCTTTCTTTTGTATTATTCTCTTGACACAGACACCAAAAGTAAATTTAGCAAGTTAAGATTTTATGACTTTTTTTTTTTTATCAGATTGCTCTACAGAAAAAAAAAAGTGGTGTAAGAAACCTCTGCTCCCCAGGGCCGGCCCCATGGCCGAGTGGTTAAGTTTGGGCACTCTGCTTCAGCGGCCCAGGGTTTTACCAGTTCAGATCCCAGGTGTGGACCTAGCACCACTCATCAAACCATGGTGAGGTGGCGTCCCACATAGCACAGCCAGAAGGACCTACAACTAGAATATACAACTATGTACTGGGGGGCTTTGGGGAGAAGAAGAAGAAGAAGAAGAAAATAAGATTGGCAACAGATGTTAGCTCAGGTGCCAATCTTAAAAAAAAAAGTCCTCTGCTCCCCAAAAGTGCTCACTGCATTGTGTTTATTATTCACTTGGTATTTCTTACTTGTTTACAATTGCACTTCTTAAATCATCAGCAATGCTGAAATTTTTTTATTTATTTTTGTGTGTGAGGAAGATTGGCCCTGAGCTAACATCTGTGCCAATCTTCCTCTACTTTGTATGTGGGATCCTCCCACAGCATGGCTTGATGAGCTGTGCATAGGTCTGTGCCTGGGATCTGAACCAATGAACCCCAAGCCACTGAAGTGGAGCATGAGAACTTAACCACTACACCACGGGGGCTGGCCCCCTGAAATTTTTCTAATGGTCAAATATTTGTCAAGTGCCTAATATATTGCCAAACATTCACTGGGTCTTGTAAACAGGCTTCATTGTCCCTAGGACACGTGGGGTGGGTAGAGCATGGACCCTGAAAACCAGATTGCTCTCTGTGATGAGCTTTTGAGGCAGGCCTCCCAACCAATTGCCTACCAAATTAAATATGAGTTCCTCAGCTATCCATTCAAGGCCTGCCACAATTCATCTCTACATACTTTTTGGCCAGGGGAGTGTTATTATTTTCTGACACCTTTCAAATACATCAAGAAAACTAATAATTTGCTATTCCCTAAGCATCCTTGAAGACTTCCAACAACTATATTCTAGCGTATGTTGTAAGCTTCAGCTGAAATGTCTTCTTCATTACCTGTAGAAAAGATTTCAGTCCTTCCTTGACTGTCCATCCCATATTTCCCCCTCATCTGATCTTCCCAACCAAATCGGAACATTCTCTACCCTGACATTCCCCCGTGCTTTATTTGCACCTCTTTTGGGGTAGTTAAAATATTCTACCTTCATGACAGGTAAGCCTCTCATTGGACAGCCAGCCCTTTAAGGGAGCCTAGCGCTCTGCTTGGTATTTAGGACAGACCAGGGGTTTTTTGCCTGAAATAAATGACAAGTGGACTGAAACATGTTTACACACCAAGGCTTTGTCTCATCTATGCTATATAAGTGAAATGGAAAATCTAGGAAATTTCCAGATAACTTAAAACAATATTTTTGAATCAACAATCTAGTGATTTCCTCACCAAACCCTTTGAGTGGCTGCACTTTTATCAATCTTTGCCTGATTTTCTCTGTGCAGATTTGACTTCCATCACTCCCAAGGTTGAATCTCAAAGTATTTGGCCCCAAGAGCTTGAGCCAGTCCTGACAGAAGCAAGAAATTCATCAGCAGCTTCCTTTCACCGAGTGGAAGGCCTTGGAGTTTCATGTGAAAGTTTCAGTCCTGGTCCCTGGTGCTCCCTCCACAGTGCCTGCGCTCCTTGGCTGTTTGTTAAACTCGCTGATTTCCTTGCCTTACTTTAAATTGATCGAGACCCCCTGTAACATCTCCCTTCCATTTTTTTCCCCTCTACTAATATGGAAGTGATACTCTCTGTGTGATTTTTTTAAAGGAGTTATCCTAAATACTTAACAGGGATACTTACAAAAACCTAAAGTTAATATCTTTACCTTCTTCCCAAATAATACTAGGACCTTAGAAGGTTTTAACTTTAATCAATTATATGCTATTATTTCCTAATAATTTCAATTCTCTCTGACCATTTTTAAAAATTGTCTGTCTGCAAATCAAAAGTACACTAAGATACCACCTTACACCTATAGAAATGGCTATAATCATTAAGACTAAAAATAACAAATGTTGGAGAGGGTGTGGAGAAAAGGGAACCCTCATACACTGCTAGTGGGAATGCAAACTGGTACAGCCACTATGGAAAACATTACATAGATTCCTCAAAAAACTAAAAATAGAAATACCATATGACCCAGCTATCCCACTACTGGGTATCTACCCAAACAACTTGATATCAACAATCCAAAGTAACATATGCACCCCTGTGTTCATTGCAGCACTATTCACAATAGCCAAGACATGGAAGCAATCCAAGTGCCCATCGACTGATGATTGGATAAAGAAGATGTGGTACGTAAATACAATGGAATACTACTCCACCAGAAAAAAAGACAAATTCATCCCATTTGCGACAACATGGATGGACCTGGAGGATATTATGCTAAGCCAAATAAGCCAGTCTGAGAAAGACAAACACCAGATGATTTCACCCGTATGTGGAATATAAACAAATACATGGACAAAGAGAACAGTTCAGTGGTTACCAGGGGAAGGGAGAGTAGGGGGTGGGCACAGAGGATGAAGGGGAGCACTTCAGCACTTATGAGGTGACAGATAAGAAATAATGTACAACTGAAATTTCACAATGATGTAAACTATTATGAACTCAATTTTAAAAAAGGTATGAACAGAAAACAAAATTGTCTCTTTGTCTCTGGAGCACTATAGTTTTATTTTATGGATCTAGGCATGAATTTATTTTACTTACCTGCTGGAGACCTTGGGTTTCCTGAATCTGAGAATTGATATCTCTCAACAATTCAGGAAAATACTCAACCATTGGTTCCTTTATTATTGCCTATTGTTATTATAATCTCTTTTTTCCTTCTCCTAGAACTCTAATCGAGTTATGATAGAAATCCTAACCTTGTCCTCAATCCCTTTCAACCTTTCTATATTCTCCATTTCTCGGTCACTCTGAGTTTCATTTTGGGTAAGTTCTTCAAAGCTTTTCTCCAGGTCACTAATCCTTCCTTCAGCTTTGTCTAATATGCTGTTTACCCAGCCATGGAGTTTTGAATTTCAGGTATTATGTTCTTCATTCATTCATGGGCCTTTATTTGGTTCTTTTTCAAATCTACTTGTATTTTTTTCTAGTCCATTGCTCATGTTTTCAAGTTTCTCCTTTTATTTCTTTAAACATATTAACCATGTTATTTTATAGTCTATACTTGACAATCCTAATATCGAAAATCTTTGTGGATTTGACTATGCTTTCTGGCTTTTTTTTTTTTCCTGGATCACACTTGTATTTCCTTTATTTCTTAGATATTTTGTGATTTTTGATTGTGAGCTTGTGTTGGACCTTTATCTGAGGAAATTCTTTGAAGCCTGTTTTGGAGTTACCTTCCTCCAAAAAGGATATGGTTTGTTTCTATGTCACCAGGGGGCACTATTAGCCTGGAAAAATTTAAATTAAATTCTTTACTTGGTGTTTTACACCACATACGTAGGATTGCCAAATAGAATACAGGATAGCCAGTTAAATTTAGATTTCAGATAAACAATAAATAAATTTTAGTGCAATATTTGGGACATATAGTAAACAATTATGCATTGTTTATGTGAAATTCAAGTTTAACTGGATAGTCTCTATTTTTATTTGCTAAATCTGGCAATCCTACCCATAGGTAGGTTGAATTTGGTTTCAAACTGACATAAGGACTTGCTTGAGTTTATGAATTTTCAGGGAATTGTTTTTCTCATTCTCCCAGGGCAAAGGTTGAGACTGGTAAATTTCCAATGTCTTCTTCTTTAAGGTGGATTTATTTCTTGCTCACTCTTATACTGAGAGTGTCATTCATTAGAATCTCAGATCTATTCAGCGATCTCCCATAGATCCTAGCTTTATCTGCTATCCTCTGCACACCATGTAATTTTCAAAAATGTAAACTCAAGGTCCATTAGATTGACCCTTAGGGTGAAAACCAACTTCACAGATCACTTACCTTTCAGGAGCTTTTTCTTTCTTTGTTTTTGTTTCTATAGATTCCTTACCATCTTGCCGGGTCCAGGAAGCATTTAAAGATATTTTTACATAGTTTATCCAGTATTTCTAGTTGTTTTTGACAGCAGGGCATCAGAAAGAAGGTGTGGTGAGGGGAGTCACTCAGAGTATCTCAAATGATATTCTCTCAGAATCAGAAGTCTTCAATCCCTCGTTCTTGCTAACCCCGAAATCTGGTTATTTCTGGTGTCTCCTCCAGTTTTAAATTCCTTACCAGCCATCGGGTGTAGTCCAGAGTCATTAGTATCATTTGACTTTGCTTTCCTCCTCTGCAAAGACTAGTGACCTGTCCGGTGACAGAGCGTGGGACCTTGCTCTGAGCTCCGTCTGATGATTTGGTCGCAATATCACATCTATTTCCTGCCAGTGCTCTTTCTCTGAGGCTAGAATCTACTTCTCTGTGCCCTAATCTCTTGAGGAGTTTTCTAGAATTCAGGGCAATCTAATGCTGCCACCACCACCCAAACTTGTCTTCTGAGTTAGTCCAAAGGAATCCCGTTCTGATTGCTGCATCTTACCTGCAGTTCCTGGAACCACACCTAAGACTCCTTGTGGGATTAGCCTTGGATTAGTTTTCTAGCTGCCTTTAGGAAGACCAGTTTTCAGAGGAGGGTTAGACTCACATGGGTACCACTGCCTTCATGGGTGAGTGGCCAGCAGCTTCTTTCTCTTCCCTATCAGTGCCAGTGTCACAGTTTTAACTTGTCTGTCTTCTCTGCCCACCCAGCACTGTACACTCTTAGTACCAGTGGCGTACTGGAGCTGGCTCGTACCAGATGGCGAGAACCAATCGTCAAACATCAGGAGTTTTGAGAGCTGGTGATTAAGCCCAGCTATTATCAAAAATTAAATTATAGAAACTTTTAATTAAGTAAATTATATTTAAAACAATGGTAAGTAGAAAGCTCTTAGAAGAAAACATAGAAGTCAATCTTTGTGTCTCGGGTTAGGCAATGATTTCTTAAATATGACACCAAAAGTGTAAATGACAAAAGAAAAAACATAAATTGGCCTGCATCAACATTTAAGTGTCATGCTTCAAAGGACACTACTAAGAAAGTGAAAATAGAACCCACGCAATGGGACAGAATATTTGCAAATCATATATCTGATTAGGAGCGTATATTCAGAGTATATTAAAAAAACTCCTATAACTCAATTATAATAATAATAATAAATATATAACTCAATTAAAAGATATCCACAGAGACAGAAGGCAGATTAGTAGTTCTCTATAGCTGGGGAGGGGTGAGAAGAATGACTGGTAATGGTCACAGGGTTTCTTTCTGGAATGATGAAAATGTTCTAAAATTAGATTGTGGTGATGGTTGCACAACTCTGTAAATACACCGAAAACTACTGACTTATACACTTTAAATGGGTGAATCATATGTGTACAAATTATATCTCAATAAATTCTTAATAAAAAAGATAATATTCAAAACACACCATTGTCTAATTACTAGTATCTATAGGTTTCAGGTTATTTATTAAGAGATGGTGTCCAAGCGACTCCAGAACATGGGATCAAATTGTATATGATATTAAACCAGCAAGGAGTGTTTGTCTCAACTAATATCTTGTTTATGTCTTTATGTCAGACAGCCAGATGGCAGTGAGTGATAATGCTCTGTACTAATCCCTTAGGAAGACTAGTTTGCTTGAGATTTAGACACAAACAATAAGAAATATAACAATACCACAAAGCGCGTCGTGACAAAATGATTAGAATATGGCTTACAAAAGATCTGGTCACTTATCCTGCTGTACTCCATCAATAAATATTTGTTGAGTATTATAGAAAATGCAAAAATGAATTAGACGCTGTTCCTGCATGCAGTCAAGAAAATAGAAACCAATTTAAATATTTAAAGCTAATGGCATTTAATATAGAGAAGTGGGTACTTACAAACTTTTGAAAGAGCTTAAGGAGAGAAAGTCAGGGGAGCTGTCACCATCTTTCAGTTTCCAGAAAACAGAATCTGAAACTTCTTGCTTTCATGCAGAAGTCAGGAAGATGCAAGAGACGGAAATCAATAATCATGGTTGCCCGGCAGCACTGGAGTGAAAGGCTGGCAGGGGACTACGGAAGATGCTGCAAAAAGTCACATCTTATGTTCACATGTCCACTACCACTGCTGGGGAAAGGAGGATGGCTTCTACCTCCCTTCTGCCTTCTAATTCTACATCTCATTGGCAGAATTTAAACTGTATTGGGAACCCCCCTGGCAAGGGACTATGGAAAATGTAGTTTCCTTTCATCCAGCCCCAGAAATGAAGACAGAGCATCCAAGGGAATGAAAATGATGCTAAATACCAACAAATAATATCTGACTCATTACCCTCAGGGTAGTCAGGTAATTTTCTGAGACTGTACATGGTATGAGTTTGGGATTGTTTCTTAGTGGCAGGGGATGCAGTTTGCAGAAATTAATCTTCTCCTCAGGTGGGCTTGACATCCCTTGAACCCTTGGACTCCTGGGCACTTTACCTAGCTGGCAAAGTTGGTTTGAAGTTTGTTGGGAGTTTCTCTCCCACTCTCTGGCACATGTCTTGAGAAAGAGTACTTGTGAATTCTTCTCATTTGGTCCAATCATCATGTCACTAACGTGGTGGACCAGTGGAAAGTCCTGCGGATGGCAAGGTTGTCAAATTTCCTGTGGATTAAATTATGACAGGGAGCTGGAGACTTGCTGTAGCCCTGGCATGGGACTCCTGTGTGCTGCTTACTCCTCTGGGTAAGTAATCTGTTTCTGGTGGTCTTTATTTATTACAGCAGAACAGGAGTCACAAAACGAGAGCTTGTTTTAAATAAAGTTTTATTGGCTCACAACCATGCCCGTTTATTTACTACTTGTCGTCTATGGCTGCTTTCACGTTACAACAGCAGATTGAGTATTTGGACAAAGACCTTACCGACCGGCCAAAACATTGCCCTCAAACAGAAGATTAATAGAAATAAAACGAGTTTTAAATTTACTTCTAAATCAAAACTATGGCCCCTTTATGAAAACTAAACACTCTAATGTATTTATAATAGTTAAAACAAAATGCCTTTTTCTGAGAGTTGAAATAATCAATGCCTATTCAAGTGAACTTTTCCCCTCAGCCTCCACATTCTAGTACAAGATAGCTAGCACTACGCACCTCTCTTAACCTCCAACAACAAAAAAAACCCGGCCTGCTTAGAATATCTATGTGTATTCTTTACACCACTGGGCAAAGTAACTTGCAGTATTTGATTGACAGTCCATT